TGTGCGTGTGTGTGAGCCCTGTATTTTTCTGGGCTCTCTTAGCACCCCCCCTCGGCTTCCGTGACCCAACTGACCAGTGTGTGTGTGGGGGGGGCACCTTGCTGTCCTTCGGTCTCCCTCCCTTTGGGAAACTCCTTCCCGCTGAGAGGGTGCCAGGCTGTCATGGCTCACTTCCCCCGGCCTGCCTGTTTGCCTGGCACTCTCTTCCCCCCCCCCCTTTTGCAGACCTGCTGGAACCTGCTCGGGTTCCCTCTGTGGCCTCTCCCTGGAGTCCCTGGCATGGAAAAGGGGGGGGGAGGGAGGACGGTGCCCCAGCGCAGGGCTGCCTTGCGTGCCTGGTGACCCCGGGAAGCTCCCCTTGCCTGTTCGATGGCTTTGGGGGTGGGCTGGGCTCAGGTGGGGGGGGAAGGCCCAGGCTGGACCTTTGGGTGGCCAGCTGCCTCCATCCCTCTCTGCCCAGACATAAAACTGTAATTAGCCAAAGAGTTAGAAACACGCTACAGCTGACACAAATATTCAGCCTTGGGTGTGGCTTCACCCTCTCTCATTATATCATTGTGAAAACAACACATCCCTCTCTGCCCAGACAGGTGGGCATTTCCAGGGGAAGAGGGGGACCCCCCCCCCCAGCTGCCAGAAGGTGCCAGGCTGTGGGAGCTGAGAAGTTTTCAAAGGCCCCTTCATTTAGCTTCTCACGGCAGGCTCAGGAAACTCACAGAACTGAGCAGCTGCCCCCCCCCAAACGGATGCTAGCCCCCCTCCTGGGGAGCCAAGTGACCCCTGACCACTGATCACTCTGTTCTGGGGGAGCTGCCGGGCAAGAGCTGCTCCCGTGGGGCACCTCAATAACCGCTTTGTGGGAGGCAGAGCAAGGGCCGATCGGAGCCCACCACCCCGGTCAGTCAGTCACCTGGAGCCGCCTGTCAGGTATTTCACCTGTGTCACATGGGGACCTGCTCGGGGAGGTGAGGGGAACGTCTCCCCCTCCCCCCCCCGCCACCGCAGGCCCCTGGAGAGGCTCTGGCATCTCTCGCCCCCAGGCTCTGCCCCCCCCCCTGCCCTCACGCGTGCAACTCCCTTCCCTCTGGCACCGGTGGGTCCTTTCAGACCGAGCCTGGGCCTCGAGGAATCTATGCAACAGGCGTGTAGCTGTGCCGGGGGGGGGGGGAGGCACCACTGGCCATTCCCTGCCTGTTTGTATGTCCCCCCCCACCTGAAGAAGGCCAGACACATGACCGACCTACCGTGTGGGCAGAGGGACAGGAAAGAGGCCTGGTTGCCCCCCTAGATGCCAGCTGGATCCCTGTGTCTCCTCTGCCCATCACCTCTCCCACGATGCCTGAGGCGTTATGCACTTGTTCAGCTGAGAATGTGGTCTGGCGCACCCTTGGCAAGCAGCAGCCCCCCCTCCACCCCCCTTTGTTCTGCATATGCTAATCGGGACATTCTCGGAACAGGAGACTAAAAGGTCACAAACACGACACCAGAAATGGCAGCACACAAAACAGAAGCCGGTTTCAGAACATTTCAGCCTCCCAGACACTCTAGTTATGGATCCCAATGTGTCTGTCACAGAAAAAGGGGGGGGGTACATCCATTAATTCATGGGCACGTAAAGGCCTTAAACAAAGCGTTTGCCAAGTGTATCTTGGCCCTGGGCAAGCCGCACAGTCCCAGGACGCCCCCCTCCCCTCGAGGAAGGGAAGAGAAAGCCACCCCTGGGCCCTCTCGTGCCTAGAAAACCCCTGGGAAACGTCATCGTATGTCAGAGTTGATGACATGCAATTATTATTATATTGCCCTTTATGTGTTTGAAAACACTGACTTTTGATTTGTGCGTGTGTCAAAGACAGAGAAGCAGAGTGAGTGCAGAAATCCTCCTGATCTTTTGTCAAAACTACACGGAGGTCTCTGCCTGCTTGCCTTCCCTTCAGGTGGCTCATCCAATTGCTTTTGGAGAAGAATATTTATTTTATGTATTTATTAGTCAGTGTATATACCGCCCATCTAGAAAATTGCTACTCTGGGCAGTGAACAACAAAGAAAGACACACAAATTATGAAATTTCTCTAAAATGCCAAGACTCTCGGGGAGAGAAGCCGTCACGTGATAGACGCTCCACCCTTTCTTGGGTCCCCCCAGGGCCTGAACCAGGACCCTTTAGGTCTAATGAAGTGGAGTTTCCCACATAAGCTCACATTTAAAAATATAGAAGTTAATCTTTAAGGTGCCACCATGTTTTTGTCTTTTTGATTTATTGTTCTTTTCATTTTACATGGAGAATCAGTGCAGGGAAATCGCCCCAGAGGGAGACCACAGCTGCGATACAAAGAGATCTGCAAGTGGGATCCGAAGGCCTTAGGAATGGACCTCAACAGATGGGAAATCTGGACCTCTGAGCGTTCAGCCTGGAGGCAGGTGGTGCATCACGGCCTCTCCCAATTTGAAGAGACCCTTGTCCAGCAGGCCGAGGCAAAGAGGAAGTCACAAAAGCAGCAAAACCAGGGAGCTGGACAGGGGACAGATTGTGTTTGTCTTCAGTGTGGAAGAGATTGCCACTCTCGAATTGGCCTTCTCAGCCACACTAGACGTTGTTCCAAGACCTCTGTTCAGAGCACGTGACCATAGACTCTCGAGACTGAAGGAGACCTACTACGTGTGCGCCCTAGGCCAGGGCTGGCTGTGATGCTAGTGATATAGTTTATTGGTATCTCAAGGGGTAGTACTTTCTGCTTTGCTTGACTGGTTTGGCATTCTGAGCTGTTTGTCCAGCAGGCCAAGGCAAAAAGGCAGTCACAAAACCAGGAAAATCAGGGAGCTGGACAGGGGACAGTATTGTATTTGTCCGCAGTGGGGAATGGATGGTCCCTCTCGAATTGGCCCTTCTCAGCCACACTAGACGCTGTTCCAAGTCCTCCATTCAAAGCACGTTAGCATCGTTTCTCAAGACTGAAGGTTGCCTACACATTTTGCCTATAAACCAGGGCTGGTGGTGACCCTCTCCTTGGAGTGGCTAGCCGGAGGACCCAGGCGTCTTCTGCCCCCCCCCCTTTGTTGGTCTGGCTGCATCTCGGTTGAGAAAGGGACCTCCCACAACCTTGGGCAGGGGACCAGGGATGCTCACAAAACCACAGCAGTTTTTGGCCCTCCAGTGGCCCAGCCTGGCCAGAGCAGACATTTCTGTGCACAGCACCATCTCTCCCACTTGGCTGAGCCTGGGGGTGGGGGTGGGGGAGAAGAATGCTGTTTGGCTACCTCTGCTTTGAAGGGAGCTTCTGGTTCAGTGGTAGATTCTGCAAGGAGATCTCCCCGAGTGGAGTGGAATGGAGGGGATAGAGAGCTGGATTAGGATTCATTCAGAAGACCTGTGTTCAAATCCCTGCTCAGCCATTGATACTTACAGGGGTGGGGTGGGGATGATCATTGATAAAACCACTCCTTAAATGTCTCAAGGACGTTGGAAACCATACTGGATGATAGTACATCATCCATACACCCACACCAGAAAACAAGAAAAATGCTTAGAGAATATAATTTCACTACCACTTTCCAGCTACCAGATTATCTAGCTTGCTTTCTTTTATTTCTAGATTCCTTTCTAAAATGGATGTGAGAAGTGCCCTATTTTAACAAGGCCCATAATCGTCAGCAGTAGCCAAAATCCTGTTGCACAGCCCTGCCTTCCTGTGCAGTGGGAATACTTTCATGCTCAGCAGCAGATGACTTCTGATTAAACACTTCTTTTTGCAGTTTTGGTGTGTGTACAGTTTGCAGACAATGCGATGCAGTCACAGGCATCCACGAGTCATTAATCCGTGGCAATTCACTGATGATTAGAACATCCCCATTTGCACTGGTGGGCAGCACACAGCAGGATTTGGGTCAATACCATAGAACCTGTATGTATTTCTATGATGACTTAAGGCATGGCTGTGGCAGGGCTGGGGAACCCTATGCTTTCCTTTGCGCCTCCACCCAGATTTCTCGGTCTTGCTGTGCCCTTGATGGCAATGCCCAGTGAGGCTATGATTTTTCCATGAGTTGTCACTCCACCCTGAGAGGCAGAATGGCTCTAAGGGCCCATTAAGGGGGAGCCCGAGAAGGAAGGCGCTTGTAGTCGCATCTCCGGATTGTGGGCTTCCTGGCCGGCCACTGTCAGGGCACAAATTTGCACAGATGGAGGCATAGGATGGATGATCCGAGCGTCAGACCAGAGAGTCGAGTCAGAGTCTCTGTTCTGCCATGAAGGAAACTGGAGTTACAGTATTGTTATCTCTCAGCCTAGCCGCACCTAATGGAGTTGCTGTGGTTGTGGAAGTAGGGGAGACCATGGACACCCTCTGGAATTCCTGGGAGGAAGAGTGGTTTGGTTTCTGATGAACAACAAGTCAAAACTCTGCCTGTCTGCCTTCCACCCCATAATAGAGCTGGCTTGCACTTTCGGGAGTGAAGGATCTCCCCTGGAGCCTCTCTGCTGATGGAGTTCTGGATGTTACAGGTCTTCCAAAACCAGTTTCTGGTTGTTAGTCACATCCGTTTCTGCACTGGAGCCATCTGTGAATTTTCTGAAACTTGACGCACTTTAAAACTATTCACCCATTTCCTGGACATGAATCTCTGGTCTGCGGAGAAGGCTTTTGCATGGCCTTGCTGTAGCCAAAACAATGAAAAGATAAGCGCCTGCTTCCAATTGTCCAGGACATTGGGAAGCTATATCTTATAGAGTTCATGGTGTGGAGTCATCCCTGGTGGCTGTTGGTATCTTTTCTTTTCTGTTCTCAATGTGTTTTTACACAATAAAGTAAATAAATGAAAGGAAGACAGCCAGCTTCAGGGTGCTTGCCCCCCCCCTTTTGCATTCCCATAAAGTCCTGGTTAGCTATCTTGATCAGATGCACTTCCCACCCCCAACACATACACACACACCTTGGATTTCTGAGAATTGTCTCTGAGCAAAGAATGTGCCTGGGCAAGTCAGGCTGCGGGAAACATTGACATTGCCTACATTTCTCTGCATGCCAGGATAGGTCCTCCCTTTCGGCTCCCTTGGGTGACTCAGGCGGGGCAGGTAGGAAGTGCAGGCAGGCAGTCACCTGCCCCTATCCTTTGAGTCTGTCTGAATACCTGCCTCTGGAAGCTGTCCTGTCCCAGGGAGAGGAATTCCTTCACCAAGGAAGTAAACTTCCCTTGTTCTCTTCAAGACTAGAGGAAAGTAGCAGGAAGGCCAAAGCTCTGGGTTGGGCTGGGGGTGGTTCCGAGTAAAGAAGAAGAAGAAAAAATTCTGGTCCCTGAATAAAATGGAGAAACAATGCTGGGCACAGTTTGTGTTGGACCACAGATGCAGTAAGGGTGGGTTGCTTTTGAGTCCACTATTAAAAGTGTGGCTTGAACTTTGCTGTTTTCAAAACAATTTGCCCTTTTTCAAAACAGTTAGCCAGCCGTATCTGGAGAAAGGACACATAATGCATTGTCACAACACTGTGCCACTTTCGACGCCAGATATCAGAGAACAACAATCAACATGGTTTTTCCTCCATAGACTTTAATTAGTACGGTTGGTTGAGCAATGTAGAAAATGTATTATTTTTCTGTGTATGTTCATAACATTCTTAAGACTAAGTAATGCATTTTACTTTATATATTTTTACTTTCCACAACTTATATATTTTCCATGCTTTTTAAGTAAGGATACTGGGAGGCATTAGAAGACATGAGGGTCTTGGTGTGCTCTGTTTCATGGGGTGACGAAGAGTCGGACACGACTTAACGACTAAACAACAAAATGCTTTTTAATTTATATATTCTTACTTTTAAGAACTTGAATGTTTTAAGAGATGTATTCTGTGTCTTTTGTTTTATATTTGCCTCTTTTAGGCTACAAGCTTCTTTATTTTGACCTGATTTAATTTCTGCTTATACTTTAAGTTTTTTATTCTAATGTCTGCAACTTCTCATAGTTGCAAGATTTTTTGATGGCAGTAATACCTGTAACTTTTCATTAGTTAAAAGGACGTATTTTAAGTATTTGTGCCTACAAGCATCAGCTGGAAGGCTGTGAGGGAACAGAAGGCCTCATTTAGAAAAGCAGGAAAACCAAGGTGACCCGGGCCTTGCCCAAAAGAGATGCAAGCAGACAATAAGGGCTGCAGAAGAAGGATTTGAGGAGCCAGAATGGGGACTTTCCAGGCCCAGTCTTGTGGTGGGAGTGGGAGAGAACAGGGGGGAGAGGAGATCATGCCAGGGGCTCACCCTAAATCCAGAGGTGGCCCACCTGCATCGCTGTTCTTAGCAGCAACTGAAAGAGCCTGTGCTCAGCCCTATGGCGGGATCCAGATTTTCTGCAGCATTGCAGTAAGAAAAGTCCCTCACCACAGAAAGGCTCCTGAGCAAACTACCTAGTCATCAGATAAGAGGGCAGGTGCTTTTACGGATCAACAGAAGAGCATGAAGCAAAATGGAGAAAATGCTAAGAGTTCTTTGGCAGGGTGGGAGTGTGAGCTCTCTCTCTGTGTGTGGGGGAGTCATCAGAGATCTGCCCTAGGCTTGATCCTTTTAAAGATGCTCATAAGGGGCTTTTAATTAAGAACGAGATGTTTGGTGGCAGATTTTCAGATGACTTCAAACCATCTCTTAGAGTGAGAAGGTGAACAGGCTGTGAAGATCTCCAGGTGGATCCCCCTAAGGGAGCGAGGGACTGGGCGAGGAATACATATGGCCAATGATGTCGTGGCTGGGTCAGCTCCTGCAAACATCCAAAGGGGGAAGCTCAGTCTGGGCTGGACTGGGCTTTTAGGCAATTTAAAAAAATTGTGGCTCTTACTTACTAATCCTGCAGTTGGACCTTTGTCAATCCCCTGACTTCCGAAGGCTCTCCTTAGAACAGCCGTTATGGGAAAAGCCTAGTGATCAGCTCTACCAGCTCAAGATCTAATGCTAGGCAGCAAAAACCACAAGTCTTGGTGCACCGTTTAGTCTTTAATTGTGGCGCTGTGGCATCAGCGGAGCGCCGCCTGCTTCACCAAAGGCGCAGCCATATCCTCAGAGAAAAGCTCTGGGGGGGGGGTACCTCTGGCCGGCTGGCCATGGCAGTCCCCCTGCTCGACTAGAAGTAGATGATGGGGTCGTCCCGGGTCTTGTGCATTTGGTAGCCGGAGAGCTTGCACTGGCCCCCGTAAACCGGCAGGGCCTGGAAGATGCGCAGGTGGACGTAGTCAGTCACCCCATGCCCAATCTGGACCTGCAAGGGGGAGGGGGCCAAGTGGGAGAGAGAAGAGTTACCCCCAGGACCTGGTAGCAGTGGTCGGGGGAAGCAGAGGAAACCTCCTTCCCAGGAGACTCAGAGACCTCCAGAATTGCACCGCCAGCCAGAGAGCGCGAGAGGTCCGTCTGGCGGGCCAGAACGACCCCTTGGCCGTAGCCCCGTCGCCTGCTGGTCAGGGCCGACAGGCAAGCCAAAGCGGAGCCGTTCACCTTTTGCTTCGCTTCGCTTCCCTTCGCTCGGAGCAATCCCACAGGGATCGCAGATAGCTCCGGGGACCTTTTCCACAGGCGGGCTCCTCAATAGGACTTGCATTTCATTCCTCCTTCCTCTGTTCCTCCCGGGTGGGGTGGACAGAAGGTGGGTCATTCCCAGCACACGGGGGGGGGGAGGCCCTCCCGCTCTTCAGCTGCTGCTACTTCAGTGGGCGCAAGCAGAGCAAGAAGGCGCTCTGCTCCCTTGTGGATGGGGCGGGCTTTCCGAGAGCGGAAAAGGACGCTTCTCTCCCCCCCCCCAGACACCTCCCTCCTCCTTGGTCCCTGACCCTGACCTTGATGAAGAAGTTGGCTCCCGCGACGACCTGCGAACGGTAGCAGATGGCCTGGAAGATGGCAAAGTTCTCGTTGACCTCGCCTTCCAGCTGGGACTTCATCTGGGGGGGGGGGCGAGAGAGAAGGTCAAGGCAGTGAGGGGAGCCCTCCGCCGCCATCAGGAAGGGAAGGAGGGAGCAAGAGGTCCCCGGCCTGGGAGACACCCTCCTGTCCGCTCCCTTTCAGCCTGACCCTAGGGAATCCTTCAGGCCCCTTCCCAGGCACGCACACAAACACACCCACATACCCACCACAGAGGGACCCGCAGCCTCGACTGGACCGGCCGGACCCGAGAGAGCCCTGGAGAGCCGGGCGGGCGGCGGGGCCGAAGAACCTTTGCCCACATATTTGGGGGCCTGGCAGGAGGGCGCGCGCGCGGGGGGGGGAATCTAACCTGGTCCGCGATTGCCTGGATTTCAGGGGTGGCCTTTCTTTCGGGGGTCAGTCCTCCGACGCTCATGGCTGCCCACTTTTCCTTGGAGAGGCGAGTCTGAAAGCTGCCCGGCGGGGAGGGGGCCCGGCACCTTGTTCCTTCCGAAACGGGCGCCGCCTCTTGCTTCTTGTGTGGGGCGATGCCAGGCACCCTGTCGTCGCGCGTGGGAGAGCTCTGCCCATTGCGCATCCCTGCCCGGTGCAACACGCCCGGTGCCTCTTGGTCTGTCCGCGGCAGGGCGGCTGGAGGGTTTTGCAGGCGATGCGGGTGTGAGGGTGGGGTGGGGGTAGGATCACCCCCTTCTCAACACGGGAGGGGGAGAAGCCAAGGGACCCCATCCGGTTAGGTCGGTTTGCCACTGACCAAAATCTTTAAAGTCCCCACCTCAAGGCAAGCTGGCGTCCAGTCCCGCTCCTGCCAGGTAAAGGGAGGGATGGGCGAGGAAAGAGGCAAGCGCCCCGGGCAGGCGGGCGCGGGGGAGGGGAGCCCTCCGGGGCTCAGCAGGCGATTAGGACACCCAGGTTTTCTCAATAAAAACTTTGCACAATTTCCTATCAAGTAGGGCAAGATTTTCCGGTTTACCCTCCTTGGCGGGTAGCCAAGGAAGGCAGAGATTCGGCTTGCGTGAGCAGTTATTATTCACGACCCAGTAGTACCTTCGATTTCCTTTATGCACCGCCCTTCTTTGTAAGAGCTCCGGGAGGATGCGCGCGCGCGGGGGGGGGGGGGGAAAGGAGTTGAACACGACCACCCCGCTGATTTAAACGGGCCAGGCACTTTCCAACCAGTTCACTGTAGCAACCAGAATACTGTAGTACTTTTGGACTAATAGGGCAGTAAACCAACCAACCAACCAACCAACCGGGCACTTCTCCCATCAGCCAAGGAGAAGCCGGTGAGGTCCAGAATAAGTGGTCTTGTCCACCAAAGCTCACCTTAATAACAGCTGATCTTTAAGGTGCCACAAGGCTTTTGTCTTCCTTATTTTGTTTGTTTGCTTGGTTGCTTTTGCTTTGGCCCGTCTGTGGTGCCCAGTCCACATCTCTTCCTTCCTCACCTCCTTGCCTGGAAATATGTCCTGCCATCCCATAGCTGGAGGGTGGCGTTGGGGGTGGGAAGGGCAGCAGAGATCCATGGCTTGCCTTCCCCCTACCACCTCTTCCAGTGGTCTCTGAGCTGCCCCCTCTTTCCTCTCCCCACATCGTCTCCTGGTCTTTGGCCAGGCTTATTGGTGCCTGGTGCAGGGATGTTAAGTACAGCACCCCCTGCCCCCCCCACTCCCATGACTCTTCTCAGTCCTTCCTTCCTTCCTGTCTGTCTGTCCGTCATTGCAGCTGCTGCTGGGGGTGGCATCAGTGGTGGCAGAGGACTATAAACCCTCTGGAGTCCTCTGAGGCTGGCATTTCTGAGGAACCTCTCAGAGGCTGTTCCCCCACCCCCACCCCACCCTGGGGATCCAAGCAGCTTTGGCCAGTTGTCCTAAGGGTTCTTTGAGTCCAGCCTCCCCCCACCATTGCCCTGCCCCACTGCCCAGGGGGGAAACCCTCAGCCAAAGCATCCCGGATAGGCGTCCGTCTGGCCTCCAGTGAAGAAGAGCCACCGCCCTGCGAGGCAACTTCTCTCAAACACCTCTTCCTCCTAGTTAGTCAAAACACCTTTCTTGCAATTTTCGATCTGTCATTTGGGGTCCCACCCTCTGGAACTCCAGGAGACAAGCTGTCTTCATCTTCAAGACGAAGAGCAAGAGCCCTTCAGACCTGGCAAGATGGCAGCCACCTCCCCTCTCAGGTCTTCTCTTCTCCAGGCCGAACGTATTTGGACCTCTCAGCCGTTTCCTATGGGACTTGATTTCCAGAACCTTTAATCATCCATCCCTCAAATGCCTTCCGCTTGATGATTTCCTTCTTCACCTCTGTGTCAGGCAGGCTGTAGGCTCCCAACTGACCTTTAACCCCTCCCTGAGCTCTTCCACGCAGGCGGCTGACATGCGAAGGCTCAGGGATGAGGAGGAGGTGTGTTTGCCTGGGTTTAAAACTAATAGTGAAGTAGTTCTCTCTCTCTCTCAGGCTTCTGTCTTGTAATGCTACAATTTCTGAGTAGAAAGTGGAATCAGCCAAGATGATCCTATTTAAAAGGCTTCTGTTTCGCCTAAATTTCACATACAAGGAAACAATCACTCCAAAAATGTAAATGTTTGTACAGATAAATATTTATATAATGCAATGGTGAAAAGTCAAATATGGGTCAGTTAGTTATGCTATGATATTTTCTAGTTTTATTTACTGTATTTATTTATTTAATTTATACCCCGCCTATCTAGTCAATTGTGACCATTCTAGGCGGCTTACAACATACACTTAAAAAAAATAAACATATAGTTATAATAAAATATCTGACCTGCATCTTTGAAGGAAATCAGACCTGAGGAAGTTGCTCCCCCACCTTCCCTTTGATTTCTACCATTTGCCCACATTTCTCCTCCCTTCCGCATTTTCCTTTCTAAACCCGTCCATGCAGAGCCAGAGGGGTAAACACTGACCCAAACCATGGGGAGCAATCCGTCCTCCTACAAAAGGAAGGGGAGGGAAACAGAGCCTGCAAGGGGAACAGTTTCGAAAGTGCCTGGGCTCCTGCATCCTCTGTGTTCCAAAGCCCACGAGAACGCCCCACATTCCCTGCGGCTGACCAAGAAGTCATGGTGTTCCTTCATGCTCACTGTCAGGCCGTCCTGTTTCCTTTTGTTTTCAAAAAGTGGGCACCTGGAGCTCAGCACCACGCCTGGGTATGCCCCAAGGCCTGGGCCCCTCTTTGCCGGATTTCTTTGGTCCTCCCTGCATCGACCAGGGGGTTGAGCATCAGCGGAAGAAGCTGGTAGAGGTTGGCCAGGAGGAGGAGGAGGAGGGCCCGCCGTGGGGGGAGGTCCTGGCCAAAGCGGTAGGCAAAGGAGGAGAGGAAGGCCGGGGTGTAAAACAGGAGGATGATGCTGAGGTGAGAGCCGCAGGTCCCAAGTGCCTTGAAGTGGGCCTCCTTGGAGGAGTGGCTGAACACGGCCTGGAGGAGGAGGCAATGAGGCTATGCCGGGAGACAAGGGGGGGGCACAACTCTGTACCTCCCCCCAAGCCATCTGGGTGATGCCCATGTGTTCGGCGGATGGAGTGAGGCATCACCCTCAGGCCACAGGAGGGTGGCCGCTTGAGAAGGAAAACGGTCAGGAGCCTCAAGAGCCGCCAAGCCAACCTTTGCCTGCAGCCACGTGCGTGAGCACTGCGGCATCGCGCAGGGGGTGGCAAACAGCGACGTCCCTGTCGAAGGCCACGGCCACCAGGATGGTGGACTCTGCTATGAAGCTGGTGTGGGTGAAGACCCTCTGGCCCAGGCAGGTGCCGGAGGCCATTTCCTTGGAAGAGGGAGAGAGGAGGACTGCAAACTTGTAAGCGACCTAGCCAGAAGTGGAAGGAGGGAGTTGCCTGTGTCCGAAACAGAAGCAACTGTCTGGTGAGGGAAGAGGGTCAAGTGACGCAGAGAGAGCACGCTTTCATGGAGCTCCCAGAGGCCCCTTTGCCACCTCCTCCTCTTCCTCCTCCTCCTCTAGCCACAAGTCAGAAGAGGCCAGACGTGGCCCTTCAGGCTCAAGGGCGACGAGGACTCAAGTCTTTCTTCAACTGCCAGGGAGGTTCTCCCCACAGACTGACCATCAGCTCCAGCAAAGTCCTCCTGGGCCTCTCGGCTTGGATGGCAAGGGAAGGGCCGGCAAGAGGAGATGCCTTCCTCTCCCCCCGCCCCCCCCCCGTGGACCCAGGAAAGCAGCAGGAAGGAACCCTCCCCAGGAAAGCAGCGGCTGCACCGCCGGCGGGAATTGGGAGCTTCACACTCTTGTGCTCCCTCTGCCTTGCCACGACCTGTCTCTAAAAGCATGTCCTGAGTGTATGCAAAACAAAACAGAACCATCACAACACACACACACCGAAGTCCCCTCCTCCTCCTCCTCCTCCAGGTCCCTCCTGGCAGTCCAGATCTCCTTTTGGATGGCAGGAAGGAAACCCGGGGCGGCAGGTTCTGGCAAGCCTCGTGTCAGCTGCTCAGCGGCTGTCCAAAGCGGGGGCTGAGAAGAAAGCTCAGGCAGAAGTCCAGGCCTGCCTGGCAGGTCGCTCACCCCAAGGACCCCACCCCACCCCTGGCAGGACGGCAATACCCAAACCCTCAACCCGTGGCACAGCCCCACAGCGCCTTGGCATCCAGCAGAGTCCGGCCCGACAAGAGTACCAGGAGGTGGCCGCTTCGCTGTAGGGGACGTGCGCTCTACACGTGCCCAGATGACGCTGCTCCGCATGGATGCTACCTGCGCATAGCCACGGAGGGGCTCCTTCAAAGCCTCAAGAGAGAGAGAGGGAGGGTTGTGGGCGCTGCAGCCTCCCTCAGGTACGATTCCTCTCCCCCAGAGAACCGCCAGGATTTCTTGCGCTTTGGCTCTTCGACTCTTTTCCAGTTTCACCCTTACAGAAGAACATTCAGGCAGTTGTGACACGCAGGACTTCTCTGACAATCCAGGAAGTCTTCTCCGCACATTTCTTTAATTCAACGCAAACGCTTTGCAAAAGCGGCTGATGCAAACAAAGAACCTATCAATTTTCATCACAGAATTAGCCTTTTCAAACATGAGACAGAGTGGAAGGCAGCGGGGAAAGAGGAAGGCCAAACATGACATGGACCCACTCCATGAAGGAAGGCCAGGGCCCTGAGCTTGCAAGAACGGACCCGGGCGGCCCAGAGCAAGTCTTTCCGGAGGCCCTTAATCGGTAGGCCCGTCATCAGCTGGACGGGACCAGAAGGCACAGAGCAAGCGCAAATTAACCTTCACTAACGAGCCAGAGCCTCCAGGCCCTTCCACGCCGTAACCTAACCGCCCCTCCCTCAGCCTCAGAGGTCCCAGTAAAAGCAGAGCCCTCAGCCCCACAGAGGCACGGAAAGGGTCCGGGAAGGGGTTGATCCCTCCCGTCGGGAGGCGCTGGCCTGCCCGGGAAAGGAAGCAGCGGCCCCTCCGCCTCTCATGGGGCCGACGCTCTCTCCTCCCCTCCCAACTGGAATAAAGGCAGCAACACTTTTCTCTGCACATCCACCTTTGAAAAACAAAACACGTCACAACTTTTAATGAATAGCATATCTGAAACACAGTGAAACACAGCACCCCCAAATCAAGTATATTTACACGCAGGAGCAGGGAAACATTGAGAAGGGGCCAAACCGAAGAATCGATGCAGGCAGGTAGGAGTCTGGCCGAGAAGAGAAGCCGGAACGGCAGGGCTGGGCAGGGCAGGGCGGTTGTCCACGGCTGCAGCCTCAGGGTTGGGTCTGTCCAAAAAACCGGGACCCCGAAGGCCAGGGAGCCAAGCTCCGGGTGCGGACACCGCCTAAGGACGCTCCGGGCCCCCCAGCTGGAGGTGGGCAAGGGCTTTGGGCTTCCGGAGCAGCCCCGGCACCTGCCCAGAGACACGCCCGCCGCCCCCGGGAGCTCGGCCAGGAAGCTGCTGGCCGGCCTTCACACCTCTGCCCCACGAGCGGATCCCTCCTGCCCACATCAGCTCCACCGGCCACTCTGGGCAACCCGGCTGCCCCCTGCTGGAGGAATGCCCCCTTCCACCCTCCCACCCCTCTGCGTGGAAGGACGGGCCATCCTCCCCCAGGGAGCTGCCCTACCATTCAAGGAACCCTCACCTGAACGTCTTGCAAACCAATACGAGGAACCGCAGTGAGCCAGACGAGGTGAACTCCAGGCGCACCCATAGAGAGAGAGAGAGTGGAGACGCTGAGGAAGGTCCACCCTCCAACGCGCTCCTGCCGAGCGGGTTCTAGGATTTGGAGGCGCCCAAGGAGGCCCAAAGCGAAAGAGGCGCCAAGAGGCCCCAGTCCGGATCCCCCGTCGCTTCTTGAAAACATCCCCTGACCCCGGAATCCCCTGCCCATCTCCTCCAGTTCGATCCGGAGGCAGCTTCGCAGAGCCCTCAGGGCCCATGCAAGAAGCGGGTCTCAAGGCAGGAGCTCCAGGGGGGAGGGCCCAGCGCGGCCACCCTGGCCCCTCACGCTGTTGCAGAGATGGAGAAGCTCAGACTGGAGAAAGAGAGGAAGAGGGAGGGAGGGAGGGAGGAAAGCCGGTTCAGGAAAGCAGCACAGCTTCTCCCCAGAAGTGACTGTGGAGTGGAAGGGGGGGCTTCTCCCCTGTGCAGCTTCCCCCCTCCAAGCCCCTAAAGGCAGGGCTAAGCAGCCAGCCCTCCCTCCTGAAAGAGAGCCCAGGCATGGCTGGCACCAGCTTGGGCCAATGCAACATTGGGGCCACTTGCCCCTCTAAGCCGGTTGCCCTTCGGCTGAGAAAGTCCCTCTCTGGTGAGGAAGGTGGTCCCTCTCTGCTGCCCCCACCCCAGATGCCAAATCGCCCCCCTCCAAAGGATGAGGCCAAAAAGACACACACACCCCCGCCCAGCCAGGAAGGGAAGGGGGAAGGCCAGCTTTCCCAAAGAGCAAAGCCGCACGGCCGCCGGGGTGGCCGAGCAGAGACTTACGGACAGCTTCTCCACGCTCCCAAGGGTGTCCGGGTTCAAGCGCAGGAGGTCCTCTCTCTTGAGCTGGCTGGCTCTCACCCGGAGGCTCTGGAGGGCAGGGAGCAGAGGAGGGGCCGTTACGCCCCGAGCACCCCCGGCTGGCTCACCGCAGGGACCCCCAGAGCCCCACGTGCAAAAAAACAAGGCTTTCCCAAGGAGGGGGTGTCCAGAAGCAGGGCTTTTCCGCGACCCCCCTTCCCCCAGCCTGCCGGCTCTGCCACCCCGTTCGGAGAGGGTCCTCTGGCCTCTCTCCATCCGTTGGGGGCCCACCAGCGCCATCATCACCACCCCAGCCTGGTCTCGCTTCCCACTAAACCCCGATGGTGCTTTCGGCACCCGTCTGCGGCTGCCCCAGAGGGTCTGCCCCCCCACCTCACCTCTCCTCCGCCGACGGGCAGGGTGATGAAAATCTCCCGGCTCTCCGCCAAGGGGCTGCCGTTGGCAGAGATGCTGAACACGCGCTCGTGGGCCGCAGGGGCCCGCAGGCCGGGCGTCTTGAAAATGCTGGGGGCACAAAGGCAGGAGGGCACCCCCCTGTGAGCGAGTCGGACCTTTCCTGCACCCCACCCGGGAGACTTTCAGCCTCGGGCCAGAGCGGGGAGCCCTGTCCCTCCACGGTGGCGCAGGAGGGTCCTGAGGCTGGCAAGGGGGCCCCCGGGGACCCATCATCCTCCAAGCCATGGCCCAAGGGGGGGCGGATGGGCTCCTGCCTCGAACCTGGGACCTCTTCCCGCCCAACGCCAACGGGGACAGACAGGCTTTGAAGGCACAGGGAGAGGACGGGCCTCACCTGGAGTCAAACTTGGGAGTGAGTAGCGGGGTGGTGCCCCTCGTGGTAGCCGGACCCTGGCCCCCCTGGCCGGCGGGAGTGAGGAAGGCGGCTTTGCTGGGCCTGCCGAAACACAAAGGGCAGAAGCCTTTTCCGCGGGCAGCTCGCCTCCCCCGGGAGACCCCCCAGACAGCGACTGGGCTGGATGCCCCACACCGGGGCCGGACGCGTCCCGGATCCCCATCCCCTCCAGCCAGCCTGGGCACCCCCCCGACCTCTGGCACTCAGGTTGGGGGGCCTCTCTCTCCGAGGAAGGGCTCCCCCAGCAACCTCTCTTCCTTCTTCCTGAATGGTCCCCTCGAGGGGGGTCTGCCCGTCAGACAGGGAGCAGTGGCTCCAAGGATTGGGGTCCAAAGCACCTCCTTTCCCTCCCCCCCGGCCCTCCCACCT